TGGTTATTTTTTGTTGCAGTTTGGCTGGGACCGGGTTCAAATCCACCACCCTTGGTATATGGAGCCAGTGCCCTACCCACTGAGCCACAGGCACCGCCCTCTTTCTTTCTTTCTTTGTTAGAAGTAGTCATGACATGTTCACATATTCTTTACTCTATAGCCTATTGGGCAGCTGCTTAATGAGATTGCTAATTAATTGGGAATTTAGCATCTCAAGCTGGTTAGAACGAAGGTATGCAGGTATTCCAAGCTCTGACATTTACTTTTTTAATCATCTTAAATCCAATATCTTATCAACTAATAAACCAACTGCTGACCTTTTTAATCACAGACATTAAAGCTCATTGTCTAAATACCTAGGTGCCTCTTTTAGGCTGCGGGGAATGCCTGTGACACTGAATGGCATTCCAGAATCACCAAGGAGTAATCCTAGCAGGAAAGCCTCACGAAGGCCAGTATCCTGTTGGGTCAAGATTACATATTAGGTTTCTACACCCAACGTGGTTTAAAAATATCTCCCTCACAGGTGGAAGCAAAGCATTAAAAACAAAACAACTGAACAACCTGTGTAACTGTAACCAAGTAGGGAGTGAAAATTCTTAATGGAGGGAATTATAAGTTCTGGCGTAAATCAAGTTTTTAGAAAGTTTAACACAATATGCATACTTAATAATAGGCAACTTAAGAGGTGGTTTATAGAAATACATGCCATCTAGGAAAAGTTAGTACTCTAAAAGGAGTTATTTGTAAGAAGCAAAATCTTCAAGAGGTATTCTAAAATGGAATGCGTTGGGATAGAATGGAGTGAGGATATTGTAATCTCATCTATTGACCAAATAAAGAAAACCAATAGCGAGCCGTGATGTAGTAGTCACTAAATAGCTTTGGTTTAACAGAGACAGAAGGGTTGAAATTTGCAACATATACCCTTCATTTTAATATCTCTGGGATTATTTTTTTTAACAGTAATGCAAAGGAATCCACTTTCATAGTAACATGTTTTAATAAGCGCTTTACATACCTATGGGCATTCTCTACTATGCCATCTTTGAGGTGACCCCCACAGAGATGGGGGAGAGGTGTTAATGTAAGTCTGTGTTCAAAAAGTAATCAATGAGAAGCTCATTCCTTGGCACCTCTCATCCTCTTGTCTACAATCCATCTAAGCTGCTGTCTGGTAACCCAGGTGTTTGACGTTACCATATGGCTCCTGATGTTTCCGGCCTCCATCTCTTGGAACAACTCTTGGTGTTGCCCTAAGTTTTGGAGTTCTTCTAGTCTCCCAAGAACATATCTGAGCAACTAACATGATCTGCCACAACCTGCTTGTTTACAGACCAATAGCTTGTCATAGCCCTCTCTAGGAGAGAACCCATTTCCCAAAAGATACTCTTTAGAGAGAGCACACAGCTGAACGTTGTTAACAGAAGATTGGCAGATCTTCATAAAAGAAGAAATGCGAAAAGGTTTAAGATCAAAAAGAAGCCAAGGATTTCTAAAGAAGCACAATGGCTGATGACAACAGGTAAAATTTTCAAATGATGGGCCCTTTACTTGCCTGAACAATTTTAACTGTTGGTAGTTCCTGGCCTCCTTCTCCTCCTTCCCATCCTAGTTTCTACCAAGTACAACTCTCTGGCCATAGAGATAGCTGTCCTATTCAGAATTACTATCTATTGAGAATTAGTAAGGTAAACATAGTCATCAGAAAAAAGAGAGGACTGATGTCCAACATGTACTTAACAGTCTAGAGTCCTGATGTATAACAGGAGAACTCAGCAGATATTTAAGGACTTCTGACCAGAAATGTTTATTGTAAAAGACCTGTTGCTGCCAAATAAGTAAAAAACAAAACAAAACCAAAAAAATCCAAAACATGCACCATACAAACTCCCCTGAATAATGCTCCATGTGATAAATTCCTGCCAGAATTTAGCACCATAATAATGTCTCTCTTAAAAGTCAGTATATGGGGTGGTGCCTGTGGCTCAAAGGAGTAGGGTGCTGACCCCATATGCTGGAGATGGCAGGTTCAAACCCAGCCCTGGCCAAAAACTGCACCAAAAAAAAAAAAAGTCAGTATATGTCCTTCTCTTCTTTTTTCTTTCTTTTTTTGAATTTTTAAAAATTAAATCAAATTAATATGAGGGTACAATTTTTAGATTGCATTGTTCTCACGTCCAGGGTAAAGTTCCGCTTCCAGGGTAAAGTTCCTGTCCTTCTTTTATTGCAAAAGACTAACTAAAGACTCTCACAGTTGAACTTAAGGGCAAGAGTTAATTAATAAATTAATCTTACTTATTCCTCAATAAATATATCTACCTTGTGATTATGGAACCTGAGTTTTCCTCCTATTTTTGGTGTTCTAATTCTAGTCCTAATTCTAATTTATATCTTTTATTATAAGCTCCTTCAAATCCTTTTTATAAAAGATATGTGGGGGCTGGGCAGGGTGGCTCATGCCTATAATCCTTATACTCCGGGAAGCTGAGGCAGGAGGATCCCTTGAACTCAGAAGTTGGAGATCAGCCTAAATAAAAGTGTACACCTGTAGTCCCAGCTACTCAGGAGGCTGAGGCAGGGAGATCACTTGAGCCCAGGAGTTTGAGGCTGCAGTGATAGCATCAGTCACCGCACTCTAGCCAGACAACAAAGAAAGACTCTATCTCAAAACAAGAAAAAGAAGGAGAAGAGAAAAAAGGAGAGTTGAGACGGGGAGAAGAGAAAAGAGGAGGGGGATTTTTTTTAATTCTCGTAGGAAAAAAAACACCTTTTGGGGGCAAGACATGATTATAAGAGGGACTTTACCTAACAAACGCAATCAGTGTAACCTGTTTTTTTGTACCCTCAATGAATCCCCAACAATAAAAAAAAAAATTGTTGTATTAAATTAAAAGGCAGGAGAATCCTATGAGCTCAGGAGTTCTAGACCAGTCTGAACAAGAGTGAGACCCTACCTCTATCAAAAAAGAAAAACATGACTGGGCATTGTAGTGGGCACCTGTAGTCCCAGCTACTCAGGAGGCTGAGGCAGGAGATCACGTGAACGCAAGAGTTTGAGGTTGCTGTGATCTAAGCTAAGGCCATGGCACTCTAGCCTGGGTAATACAGTGAGACTCTGTCCCAGACAAAACACTAAGAGATTTTCCTCGAATTCCATTTAAGAAATCCTCACATTCGGAAGACATTTTTTAAACCAATGTACTAAAAGACTAAGTAATACATAATTATGACTGCAAATAAATCTTAATCTCTCTGCGTCCCCAAAATATCATAAAGTCAAAGAAAAGACAATTCATGATAAAAGGCTAATGTTCTTACCACAAACAGCTCTTCCTGCTTAGCAAAAAACAAGACAAAACAATTACAAAATGAGTGAAGAACATGAATGTGTCAAAATCACAAATAACAACTAAAAATATGAAAAGATGCCCAACTTCATGCATAATTAAAGAAAAGCAAGTAAAAGACCCATCAATTTCAGAAATTAGAAAATCCCGATAATCTGAAACTTTGGCAAGTATCCAGAAAAGAAAGTGAGCACATAAACTGTCAGGGAAAGTGTTGCCTGAAAATTTGGTCTTTTGAGAGTATGACTTGGAATATGTCAAATGAATACGAACTCTCCAAGCAATGATCTTGCAGATAGATTCGCAGAATGGTGCAAATATATATATAATCTTGGAGTATTGGTTAACATAGGAGGTCATTAACAAAAAAATGGAATCTATTTAAATGGTACTTCCAAACAAAAGATGCCACTCAACCATTACAAAGAATGCAGCAGAGGTGTGTATACTAACATGCAAATGCCCAGGACATTAGGTGGGCCCATGCTACTGCAGATGGCTATACATGCCCAGGAAATAGGAGGAAGGCAGGTAAAGTGCCTGCAACACCTGTTTGACACCTGTTTACCTCTCAGGGACACAAATGGAAGGGGGCAGTGAGAAAAGAGTTTTCTTTTTATTCTACTCTTCTGTGCTGCTACATTCATTAGGATGCAATTTGTTACTCCCACAGTAAACACCCTAATTTGTTCCACCTTGTTCAGCTACTGGCCTCTTAAATTGAAGCTTCACTGAAAACATTCTGGAAAATTAGCATGATTTAGGTTCCAGGCCAAAGCATGTGCAGAACCCCGGGCTCTGAACCCTAGTCTCTAAGCTCAACCGGCATTACCTTAGGTAGGATGCTTAGGTAAGAGGACTCGCTGGAAGCTTTCAGGAAGGCAGAGGATGGTGTGGGGGGAGTCCTGGTGAGCTCACTGAGCAGTTCATCACTCCTGATGCTCCTGGGGGCCAGGAAGCTGGCACCGCTCTGACTAAGGCTCCCAAAGCCTGCAGAGTCCCCATCACGGAGGAGGCTCTTCTGGTGGCACCTGTACCTTGTGTCAGGGCTCACCAGGGCTTCTTCAAACACGGACTCCTCATCAGACAGCTGCAGCTTCTCAAGCTCCTTGTTGATTTTTTGCACATCTGCCACCGTGGTGCCAGTGGACAAGCGGCTGTCAGGCTTTGTGTACTCAGCACACAGACTGAGGATGGTCTCCAGACGTTGTCTCTCCTAGAACACAGAGAGAAGGGGAAAGTGAGTTTGGGAAAATGGACAACTCCCAACAAAAAGATTGAGAAGGCTGGGAGGACTGGCAACTTAATTCCACACATAAGCCCACAGACGGTTGGCTGGGGATGGTTTTCCATCATCTTTTATGGACGCATTTAAAAATCCAGATGAAACAGGGGTTAATGATGCTTGATTTTCCTCCCAAATTCGGTTCTCACTTTCTTCCCAGGCCTGACCCTAGCACATATCAGCACTCAGGGAGCATCTTCTTGATTCGTCAATTCTCCAAACACTTGGAAGTTGCTTCCTCAGCCTCCATCTTCTATCCATCCTCCTTCGCATCCTCTACTTCTCTACCTTCAACAGTATCTTGCTCTTTCATCTCTACAGACTTAACATTTGAGCTTAAAATGAATTCTCTAACCTCCTGTAGAAATATTATTCTACTGTTAAACACACAAAACAAAAAAGCTTTCTAAAGAATCTTCTCATTTAAAAGGGCTAGGTCTTCTGTTTTTTTTTTATTCTTGAAATGCTTCAAAATTTTCTGAATTTTCTGAATATGCCAAAAACCATGGAAAGATCTTTTTCACTAATTTCTTCTATGAGTAATTAAACCCATAAAACTGTAGGAGGTGTTCACTAAAAGGAAGATCATTTCACATCAAGTCCAGTTAGATATCAATATAGTTCAAATTATGAGATCATGAAAACTTGGATTCATTTAACTAGAAAATAAACTCTGGGAGGCCGAGACAGGTGGACTGCCTGAGCTCACAGGTTCCAGACCAGCCTGAGCCAGAGAGAGACCTCCAGTTTGATGAAAATATTTCAGATTGTATATAAAGCCAGCACATTGTACCCCATGATTGCATTAATGTACACAGCTATAATTTAATTAAAAAAAAAAACCATAAAAAATTAAATAAATAAAAATAGCCTGGCACTGTGGTGGGCACCTGTAGTCCCAGCTACTCTAGAAGTTGAGGCAAGAGAATCACTTGAGCCCAAGAGTTTGAGGTTGCTGTGAGCTGTGATGCCACAGCCCTGTACTGAGGGCAACAAAGTGAGACTCTGTCTTAAAAATATATATATATCAACTAGAAAATAAAATAATAGTTCATTTGTTTTTCTTCTGAAATCAGTATCCAGGCCACTGATGCCTGTAACAGTACCACTAATTAATATCTCACCAGATTCTCCATGCAACAAAGGTAGAGATTCATGATATTTAACTTTAAATAAATTAACTACATATTTGTCAGAATATAACTGACAAAATGCTTCTCCTAAGCCTACGCAGCGTCATTGAAGGGAGGGAACCTCAGCATCTTTACCCTTCACATTAATTCTAATGCCAAGGTGGAAAAGAATTAAAAACAAAACCATCTGTTGTGATTACATTTACTGTATTGAGAAGAGATGCCAAAAGCCCTCCATAGAAAAAAGACTTTCCAAACTGATCAGTAACAAAAAGATTTTCCAAGCTGATCAGTAACAAAATAGAAAATATTAAGCAGCACCAGGCTGCTGTTTTCATTTCAATTGCAGTTAATTTGTAAACACAAAATTCAGAAGACAGTGAGCTCTTTATTAGCTGAAGTAACAAGTAGAAATGTCAAATTGGAACACACAAACACAACTCCTTGTGTTCTATTAAATTCATTACTTAAAGGACAAGTCATTAAAGGAATACCCGACTTATATCTGCTCTCTAAAGTAACCCCTTCCCAATAAAAGAGCTTGATCAAAAGGACTTTTTAACTACTTGCTATAAGCTCGCACCTCCCTTTCACTTCCTGAACGTCTGGACTCCAGCTGCAGCTCCGTCCTCATGGCCTCTTCCCAGGGCAGGCACTCATGACTGCACACCCTCATCCCGGGCTCTGCTGCACCCTGTCCACCCAGGGGCCCTGGTGCTTTTTATCTCTGCAGCTGCCACCAGCTGCTAAGCCCTACCCTCTTCAGCTTTATGGGGAGGGAGTAGGGGGACACATCCTTCATTGCCTTATTTTAAACCATCTAGAACTAAGTCTACATGAGACTCTGCAAAAACAAACTGTGGACATGTGTGAAGAGAGGGGCAGAGACAAGATATTAAATTGTACTCCTCTCAAAAGCATCTATATTAGAGGACAATCACCTTAAAAAAGCTCCTTTTCTGCCATTGAGGAAGTTGAAGCATCTAAATGCAGTCTTTACTCATCTTTGTAGATCATAATAATATGTATAAGTTTGCCTTGACATTAATTTATATTTGGAGTATCTAAAAGTTGTCAATTTCCAATTACCAGGGCTCTAATGAACAGGGCAGTCTTCAAAAGCATGAAAGGTGTAATACTTCTGCCTAGCCTGGAATACCTAGCAAAATTCCTCCCACATCTCCTTCCCAAAATAGTTTCTTTTGCTGCCAATGGTATTGCTTAATTCCAGAGGGAATAAATGATCCCATCCTTGAGATGAATGCTATTTCAGAGAGTGAAACACAGTATTCAAAGGCTTGTGCACAGGAAGTTTGGTCTGCTGGTATGTGTGTCTCTCTATTCTTATCACCCCATTCACAGCCAATCCGTCCAAGCCTGAATCACACACACATGCAGCCTGGCTGCCCACAAATTTTACAGAAATTCTGGCTGCACCGAGACACACTGGCCCCATAAAAGCTGCACCAAAGACAAATAAACTGATACCAAGAAGTGTGTCAGAAGAAAATCTGCAAGGCATTTCAGAAATCACTACAAGAAGCCTTTTAAGGAAAATTCTGAACGGAAATTTACTCTAAGATAATTCTCCCTTCATCTCTCTTCATTTTGAAATCTTTTCCCCGTCCATTCATAACACCAATATGTCTGGCCCCCTATTTAAAACTTATTCATTTTTTTTTTTTTTTTGTGAAGCTTCACTTAGCAGTCTGCTAAGTCTGGAAGTGGCTCTTTTGGAGATTTCTAAATCCTACCTACCTTTCCAAACCAGCAATCTACTATAAATTCTCTTGCAAGGCCACCAGTCCAGAGCTTAACTACCTAAATGCACCAAAACATTGGTGCTAAGAATTTAGAAAGCACGTCACTTTGAATCAGATTACTCTGAAAACATTTTTAAATACTTCTCCCTTCCCATTTTTCCTTTTCTATGTCCCACATATTTTAAACGAAGCTATGAAAGGGCCACGGGATCTTCGAAAATATACCTGAAGAAAATGGTGCACAATTTTTTCCCTTAGAGGTTAAAGGGAAAAACAAAGAGTCGTGGGACAATGGTATTTTTTGATCCCAGAGCTTTCTTCCATCTTCAGAGGAATGTGTCTGGCACTGCCCACACAGCTTCATAGCCCTCAGGAGTAGGAGACCATCCATCTCCTAAACCCACACAACCCTTCGTATCCAGCAGCAGCTTAGACTACAGCACTCTGTATACTGCCTGAATACAGACAGGTATTCTGCAGAAAACCAACGGCTGACACTCAAACACAGGCGAGAGCTGTATTAAAATCCTCTTGTTAAATGAACACGGTGGGTCATTTATTATTTAAAATAAAAGGCTCCATATTTAATGGCTAAATATGATTTAGTTGAAAGGAGAATTTTTTCTTTTGAGGAGGACCGATTGTGACTGGTGAGTACAACTGTACTTCTCTAGTTCTATAATTGTACTGTTTCAATGTCTCTATAATCTTCAGTTCAACAAAGATCTATTAAGTTACTCATTGTCCGGTTAGGTGCTGTGGCTATATAGATGAAAACGAACAGTATTTCTACCCTCAAATCTTTAACAAGAGGCACAAACAGATGATGAGTGATAACTGAGCTTTATAGAAAAATTATGGATACAGATATGAGGAAGCAGTATACCAAAATTAAGAATTATAGGAAAGCAAATCTGAGTTTCGTCATCAAGGATAAATGTGAGTCTGTCTGGTGTGGCCTCAAGGCTATATGTCACCCTCAAGATCCCCAAGTGCGGCTCCTTGACCGATCCCAACTTCACAAAACAAATCCCTTTATTAAAAGGATTTATTCTGTAAAATGTGGATTCTATCAAGGAGCCAGAAGGCCACGTGTGGCCCAAAGGCTGCAGGTTCTCCACCCCTTGGGACGAGGGTGGGTGGGGCATTTCTAGAAGGGCACCACCGATGCAAAGGCATAAAGCCGTGGAATGTCATGGTATGCTTAGAGATCAGCAACTTGTATGTGGCCATAGAAATGGGGCATTTAGGAGGAACAGAAGTGAGGTACCTGCATAGAAATGAGCCAACATTTTTTTTTCTTTAGATCAGGACTGGAGGGATCCCAATAGCCCCAAATAAACTTTTAAATAAATTTACCAGGAGCACCTGCAAGAGTCAGGAACTCTGGTCTAAAAGTGAGTGACAGAATGCTCACTCAGAGAGGTGGGGCTGACAGCAAGTACTCAGAGTTTCCAGGATTCCACATACAAATCCTGATATCTCAGTTAGGTAGGAGAACCAGGAGGGAAGATAGAAACAATGGCTAAAGTCTCTTACGTGTGTCTATTTGTTTGAGAGATGACTCTTTTAGGGCGATTGTGATCAGTTTGCCTCCTTCTGGACACAGTACTAAGATGGCTTCTCTCTTCCCCACCCACACTAGACGTGTCCTCAGATTTCTGAGAAGTGATGTGTGTCACTTCTGCATGAATGGACAGTGCCTGACTCATTGCATGCTTGCTGTGCCGTGGCACAGCGATGCCCCAGGTGGTGCTGCCCCATCTGCCTGGGCCCTGAGCCAGGAAGCGAGGAGTAGAGGCCTCTAACCCACCCTAGTATAGGAGTATATAGGAGAGTATAAAGGAGAAAGAGACCTATGTCTTTTTGAGCCTCTGACTTCTCTCCTCTGTCTACTTTCATCTAGTTTGTCCTCCTCTCTCCAAGGTACCATAGTGGTAAGAGCAGGACCCTGGAGCCCAACTGTTTAGGTTTGGAGCTTGGTTCTGGAGCTCCCTGTGTGACCGTGGGCAAGTTACTTAGCTTTCCTGTCCAG